TCTCGTGCCTCAGCCTCCGAAGTAGCTGGGGTTGCAGGCGCCTGCCACCACACCCAGCTATTTTTATTTCTTGTATTTTTAATAGAGATAGAGTTTCGTCATGTTGGCCAGGCTGGTCTCGAACCCCTGACCTCAGGTGATCCACCCATCTTGGCCTCCCAAAGTGCTGGGATTACAGGCATGAGCCACCGCACCCAGTCAAGCTCATTGTTAAGGGCTCTCCCTATCTGCCCTTTTCACTTGATTCCTTAGGGGTGGGAAGCTATCAGATGATAGGAGATGCAAAGAAGGGAATTCAAAAGCATTAACTGAATGTTCATAAATGACATTATTCCTGCTACATAGATATGTTTATTATAGAGTTGAATGACCAAAGTATAAATGAGCTCTATAAATATATAATCCAAAAGCTTTTGTTTTAAAATGCTTCCCAATCATCAAAATAGCCCAGTATTTTCGATAACAACTTTCTCCTGCCTCCCTCTGTGCCACACTGTGTCATCTTAATAGAAGACTGGGCTATTTGGTAACTTCTCCTTCCTCCTTAATGGAAGAAGAGTCCTGGAAGTAAGTGACAGCTCTTGATCTCAGAAAGAAAGGGGATGAAGATGTCCCCAAATATCACCCCATCATTTGGAATTTAGAGAAGGTTGTCCTATGAGTAGCTTGACGGACCTGACCTACCTCAAACAGTGCCCCAGTGGGTGGCAGGGCCTCTGATGGAGCAGGTGAGTGTCTGGGAAACTTAGAATGTAATAAATGGTCTAATAGTTTTGTTAGGACAGCACAGTGGCACAGAAGAGCAGCCCTTAGCCCTGCTGTGTAGCTCCAGTTTTTTCAAAATAGGGAGTATAATATTTTGCAGCCAACAAAATCATGAGACAAAGTTGGTAAATGTTCTAAAAACAGAAATTGAATGATTGAATCACATCGCAGAACTACTGTTCCATTCTAGATTTTAAAAACACACACACAATAATTTGGTTTTAATTTTTGTTGTTTGTTTTTTTGAGACAGGGTCTCTCTCTGTCTCCCAGGCTGGAGTGCAGTGGCAACGACCACAGCCCACTGCAACCTTAAACTCCTGAGCTCAAGGGATTCTCCCACCTCAGCCTCCTGAGCAGCTAGGACTACAAGCGTGCACAACCACAACCACACCCAGCTAATTTTTTAAATTTCTAGTAGAGATAAGGTCTCGCTGTGATGCTCAGGCTAGTCTTGAACTCCTGGCCTCTGGCAATTCTCATGCCTTTGCCTCCCAAAGTGCACAGGTGTGGGCCACCACATCCAGCCAAGGCAGAATGATTTGATAGGGCTGTTTTTTTTTTGTTTTTAATTATACTTTAAATACTGGGATACATGTGCAGACTGTGCAGGTTTGTTACATAAGTATACACATACCATGGTGGTTTGTGCACCCATCAATCTGTACATTAGATATTTTTGCTAATGCTATCCCTCCCCTAGCCCCCCGTCACCTGACAGGGCCAGTGTGTGATGTTCCCCTCCCTATGTCCATGTGTTCTCATTATTCAACTCCCGCTTATGAGTGAGAATATGCAGTGTTTGGTTTTCTGTTCCTGTGTTAGTTTGCTGAGAATGATGTTTCCAGCTTCATCTATGTACTTGCAAAGGACATAAACTCATCCTTTTTATGGCTGCATAGTATTCCATGGTGTATATGTGCCACATTTTCTTTATCCAGTCTATCATTGGTGAGCATTTGGGCTGGTTCCAAGTCTTTGCTATTGTGAATAGTGCTGCAATAAACATACGTGTGCATGTGTCTTTATAGTAGAATGATTTATAATCCTTTGGGTATATACCCAGTAATGGGATTGCTGGGTCAAATGATATTTCTGGTTCTAGATCCTTGGGGAATTGCCACACTGTCTCCCACAATGGTTGAACTAATTTACACTTCCACCAACAATGTAAAAGCATTCCTATTTCTCCACATCCTTGCCAGCATCTGTTGTTTCCTGGCTTTTTAATGATCTTCATTCTAACTCCTGAGACATGTTATCTCATTGTGGTTTTGATTTGCATTTCTCTAACGACCAGCAATGATGAGCTTTTTTCATATGTTTGTTGGCCACATAAATGTCTTCTTTTGAGAAGTGTTTGTTCATATCATTCATCCACTTTTTGACGAGTTTTTTTTTTCTTGTAAATTTGTTTAAGTTCTTTGTAGATTCTGGATATTACTTATCCCTTTGTCAGATGGATAGATTGCAAAAATTTTCTCCCATTCTGTAGGTTGCCTGTTCACTCTGATGATAGTTTCTTTTGCTGCACAGAAGATCTTTAGTTTAATTAGATCCCAAATTTAATTTGTCAATTTTGGCTTTTGTTGCCAATGCTTGTGGTGTTTTAGTCATGAAGTGTTTGCCTATGACTATGTCCCGAATGGTATTGCCTAGGGTTTCTTCTAGGGTTAGGTAGGGACTTTTATAAAGCAAGGACACTATTGACATCATTTTAAATGCCAGTCACCCAGGATTCAAGATTTCATAGAGTTTAACCAGGACATTCCACAACAGAACTTTGGTCACAAACCCCTCATTCCAGGATTTAGAATCATTTAACATTGTCTCAGGTGTGATTTGAAAGAAGTTACCTGTTAGCCCTCCCCTCCCGTGCACAGAATAGATTGGAGCATTCTTGATTCTTAATTTCACCTTCTATGCCCCCCAAACTCCAGCCTTCCTCCAGGGCAAAGATTGGAGAATCACTTTTTATAAGGAGAGCTAGGGGAGCTTTCCCATGATCATTTTTCTTTGATTAGATGAGATTTGGCCAAGTGAATCTCAAATTTGCATTTCTCGTCCCATTTGTTAGGTTTTCAAGAGGCCTTTTAGGCCTAGCATCTGAAACTTGTCACTCAAGGGATATGAACCTGTTTTATTGCAACATCCCACTTTTTTTTTTTTTTTTTTTTTTACATTCCAGACTCATGCTTATTTATCCACTTTTATTTAATTTTGAACTGAGTAACTGTAATCAAATGCTGTTCAAATTATACAGCTAAACTTTCTCTTAGATCCATAGAAATTTTATGTAGAAAACAGAGAAAGAAAAAAATTTAACCTGAATGTTGGTTTCCTAAAACAACATATTATAAAAGGGAAATCAATTAAGAGGTTATTAAGAAAAGATTTTCTTGTATAAATGTTTTAATTTGTTATCATTAGTTTATATATCATTCTTTCAGTGTACTTTTCTTGTCTTGTTTTAATGTCTATTTTATGGAAAGTTGAACAGTTAAATGCATCTTTCAAAGACTAAAGTTACTCTGAAGTGTTTATATTATTGTAAATGGATTTTGGTACTTTATGAACTCTGTGCTTTTGAATAGTCAGTGGTACTATTAAAACATTGGGGTTTTAGTTTGCCTACATTCAAGTGTTATTCTTGCTCAAATTTTCAGATAAAGACATAAATGATAGTGGAAAATTGACAGCAAAACACAAAACATCTTCACGTAGATTTTATTATTATCACTAAGCAGAAAACCTGGAGGGCAGTATTTTTTTTTTTTTTTTTGACAGTCTTGCTCTGTCACCCAGGCTAAACTGTATTGTCTACAGCCTCAACCTTCCACTTAAGGGAGGGCTCAAACGATCCTCCCACCTCAGCCTTCTGAGTAGCTGGGACTACTGGTGTGTATCACCGTGCTCATCTAATTTTTGTATTTTTTTTTTGTACAGATGGGATTTCGCCATGTTGCCCCGGCTTCAACCTCCCAAAGTGCTGGGATTACAGGCATGAACCACTATGCCTGGTCTGGGATTTTTTTTAAGTGCAATCCTACTGACTAAATGAATCTTCTGACTAAATTTCAAAATGTCTCACAACTTTGCAAGTGACCATAAAGCGCAGGTGTTACCAGCACACGTTCCTTCATGAATTCCATGGGGTGACTACAACTGTACCAAAATGATACAAAGCACGACTCTCATCATGACAAAAAAATGTAAATAGAAAAATTGCACTAATAATTTATTTCCAAACATTGCTGCTAGACTGTAATAACACCATCCCATCTTCCTTTTCTTTTTCCTCTTGGACCAAGGCCCATAAACAAATGGGTACTGCGTTTTTCTGTGTATGTAGTTTCATGTGGGCAGCAAGATGCGGGGATAAAGCAGTAGTCAGTGCAGGCACAAAACGCAAAGAGAACCAGGACAGAGGTAGCAGAGGCCCCTCTCTGCCAAATCCTGTCACTAATGTATGGGCTGTCAGCGGTTCATCACTGAGCAAGCCCCTCTCTCTCCTTGGGTAGGCTCCTTTCCCAGTGGACAGTCAGGCCAGCTGTCTAGGCAGCAGGAATAGCCCTCCTTTCCCAAGCCCAGACCTGTGGGAAAATCTTCACTGGCCAGTAATTGATTCCACCCTGCCAGCTCCATTACTCTAGGCTACAGTCACACTGGCAGCAAGCTGGGGAAGGGAGCCTGCTGAGGGCTAAGGGGTGGGAGCAAAGGCCCTTGAGGAGGGGGGGGCTGCAATTAACACTAATCTGAAAATTGGCCTCTGACAGCAAAGCCCAGCACCTGACAGCTAATTACTTGTGTCAGACTGATGTGCACTTCATATGGAAAGGTTATTTATCAGAGACCAGGGTTTTCTCTCCCCTCCCCTCTTTTTTTTCTGTTTGTCTTGCTGAAAACAGTGGGGAATTGTTCCTGGTTGCTTAGATCCTGGAAACCCTGAAAGTTCTCATACTTCACTTAACTGAAAGGCTCCTAAAGAACCTGTCTAAGATCTGATGCATGAGGGCTGTGCTGCTCACCTGTGCTGGAGACCAGAGAAAAATGCAGGTATCCAAGCGAGTGGGCCTCATTTCCTTTTGTAAATAGAACCAAAGTGATGGAGACATATGCAACTCAAATAATCAGTGTAGAGATTGAGCCGAGATTGCGCCACTGCACTCCAGCAGCCTGGGAGACTGAGCAAGACTCCGTCTCAAAAAAAACCAAACCAAAACAAAACAAAACAAAAAAAACACGATAAAAACTGCATTAAAAAAAAATCCAAATAGTGTGTGAATAATAAATTCCAGAGGGATCAGACCAATTTCATTGATCTAATTTTCAAAAAGCCAATCCATAGTGGGGAAGATAAGTAAATGGCTTAGCTTGCAAATGAAATTGAAAGTCCGTTGCCTTTCATCATTTTAATATATTTTCTCTAATCCTCATATCACTATACTGTCTGTGTGACACACACAGTTATATTGTCTTTATGTTGGTGATGTCATCTGTCTTGCCAAAAATTAAAGTGGTTATCAGCGAGGGAGAGGAATTTACATGGGACTTTCTCCTTCTACCTTAGACTTTCCATTGACAAAATTTTTTGAGCACCAAATATTTCATTCCAGGCAGTCTTCCAGGTCCTAAGCATATGAAATAAAACTATTTCTTGCTCTTTGGAGGCTTATGGCTTGGAGAAGAACATAGATAAGTAAGGAAATTACAATATAGCATGATACACTTTAGCTAAAGGGTGAAATACACAATTCAGAAGCACCTAAAACTGGATCTAACCTACATGTGTGTGGTACAGAGCGGGGCGTCTGGGCTGAGCTCTGAAGAATACACAGGAGTCGGGCAGGCAGAGAAGGGAGTGTGTGTCAATGAAGGATAAAGATAAAGGAAATGTCATGTACACAAAACCTGACATGAAAGAGAATTCAGCAGGGTTGAAGCCTAGAGCAGACATGACCCAGATGAGGCTGATAATTAAGGCACATGGTTAATTTGTCCCAAGGTTTTCCAAGCAGAAATTATAAGGCTTGTAGTTTAATGAACTTTTCACTATTTGTTCTTGCTATCCTTTCAACCAAACTGACCCCCAGCTCAGGTACCTAAGTATTGGACACGACCATGGCAGAGAAAACCCAATGCCATTGAGAAGCAACAAGCCTCACTGGCTATTAGAGCAGAAATCAGAAGACCTGGGAGATTGGACAGCTAGAGGGTTTTTGTTTGTTTGTTGTTGTTGTTTGTCCATCAAGCACCCATGTTTACAATGGGACTCTCTCCCCTACCCCATGAGAGTCTGGGTTTTTGTAAGAATTCGTTTATTTTGCCAACAAAGGTTTTGAGTGTGTCCTCTGTGCCAGGTAACAGGAGGCACCAAAAATACTGAAATGAACTAGGCAGGCATGGGCCCTGTCCTCAAAGAGCTGCTACATACTAAGAAGACAAACATAAAACCGATAGTTACATTACAAACACATTGGTGACACTTTTGGTAAGAGCTAAAAAAGTAAGAACTACATTGTCAAAAATAATCATCTGCATGAAACTGTTATGAAAACTCTGTATACAAACTAAAAGAAAAGATATTGTCATTAAGGTAACCATGATACAAAGTAATGGGGGAAAGACAGAGGAAAGAAAGGCACATCAGTCAAGTTATTGCCATGTGTCTGCTACTAGGATAATGCCCACGTGTACTGTGTCACGGCGTTTCATAACAAACTTATGAGGGTGTTCTTATTTCCCTGACATTGCAAAGCAAGTTACTGAGATTCTAAAGAGCTAAATAACTTGCTCAAGGCCGGCCAGCTGGAAAAGAAGGAAATGGTAAGGCTGGGCCAAGCTTGGCAACTTCCGTCCATCCCTCCCAACTGAGAACGTCACCCCGTCAGCACCCCAGTGGACTTCATTCTTCAGGACTGGGGAACTAGTTCACTCCCAGGCAAGGCACCATATCTAGCAGCAGAGCAAAACTGACTGGAATGTTCTGTGGCTCCTTCAGGCTGCCTTTTAATTTAGTAAAAATGTATCAACTTGTATCATCTTGGGATAAATATTGATCCTTTTTCCTGGGTACCAGTTTTCATAGGACCAGTAGACATAAGGACACAAATGTGATTTCTATCCTAGTCTTTCTACTGCATCTACCACCCAGGAAGTCAGGCCCTTTAAGAAGTGTGGTATTAAATCTAAAACAACTCATCACACTTACAGTTTTGAAAGATAGAGAACTTGCTAACAAAGCAGAAGGGCAGGCTATTGGTTGTTTCTGAAAACAGGAAATCAGAGGAATAGACTAAAAAGAAAAGTGAGCTTGCAAACAGGTGTCCTATCACACAAGCATTGCAGGCATACCGCATACTTGTTGGTTTCAGATGGGCCTTGAATGGCAGAATTATTACTGTACAGTCAGTATGCCCAGTTATTATTTAGGAAGCATTATGGTTTCAATAGTCGTGACCAAGTCTCTGGGTACCAGCAGGAAATAACTCTACTTTAAATAAGTGATGAGCAGAGAGAAGCAGTAGTCTAGCTCAGACAAAACACCTGAAGAAAGAAAGCAACTTCACACTCTGTGATGCCCAACAGTCCCCAGTACTGAAGTTTTCTCACGGCGCCAAGCCCATAGCTCCAACTCAAGTGACCCCTGAACTGGTGCTCTTGTCAAGACCATGTCAGCAGCAGCTTCTGGAAACTGCAGGCACTGTGATCTCTGTCCATAACAGATCATTATGTTTGGGCTTTCTAATCACCCACTTGGAGGACAAAAACGGAACACTAACCAGAGTGCCCAAGCTGAGGCCTGCACTTGGCCCTCTGCTCCCACTTGGAGGCCGCCTCCCCACAAAGGGTTTTTTTAGGAACTTCAATGGAAACAGATAGTCTCTTGGCCCCAAGTGAGGTCTCCATTCCATAGCTCCTGCTGTCTGTTTAGCATGAAACCCAAGCATGTGACACATTCACATCCTTTTGTGTTTTCTAAATGCTTCCTTGGTCATGACTGAAAATGCTTAAACCTTATCAAAGTCCTATTTTTCCTTCAGCTGTCTGTTATTAAACATATGTTTATTTTTAGCTAAGTAAAAGAAAACAAAACACCTCTAGTACCAAGAATGAATATGAGTTTTTAAGCTCTGACTTGGTTTTTGAAATGATTTCTTATCAATTTGTTTATAAAGGGCAAAATGGTATGATTTCTGATTAAAGGACAGTCTATACCATCTGTTTTATAAACAAAAGATTCCTGTTTTGGTCTTCTCAGAAGTACTTATTTTTTCATAAGAAATAATGCCTAACACCAGCTCCCTTAGTGTGGAGTTTCTTGCAAGCCAGCCCATGGAATGGCCAAGAGCATGGAATGCCAATATGCCCACCTGGCTCCCACCACCAATTTCCATTCCCCTCCGCTTACCACATATCACAAAACCATATGTTTGCCCAGGACCCCAAAATATTTCTGCATGAGGGGTTCCCCATACAGCCCTCTGGATTGCTGGAAATCAGCCATTGCTCTCAAAGCTTCCGAAGTCCCTGGCCACCATCAGAGTGCACCTCTGAGTCGAGTGACACCTGCTCTCTGCCTGTCTGGATGGGTAGAACCCTGCTGTGAGATCATTGGCATGGTAGAAGACCCCCAGAAAACTCCCTTCACCAAATGCTAGGCAGGTGGACACCATGGCCACAGCTCCAGGGCCCACTCGGTGCACCATATTCAAAATAATCATCATCCAAAAAAAAAAGAGCATTTTGGCAGCCCAAAACATAAACTCCCATCAAGCTTAAAAGAGAATTATTATAGAGACAGGTTTTATTTCAATTCTCTTTTGGCCATATTCTGATCTCTATGGGGCTTATTTGGCAGCCATTGACAACATGCAAATTGTTTCACCTGGAACTGCCTTTCTTAAAGTAAATTCATTGCACTAAGAAGCTAATTTACAGATCAACATTTTCTTAAGCATGAAATGGCTTTAAAACAGTAATGATCGCTTTGGCTGATATGGTACTTATTCCAACAAAGAGAAGTGCACATCTTTCATAATCATTATCTGGCACTAACTGGTATGCAAATTCCCCTTCCCACCCCCCCACCCCCCCGGAGTACAAGGAGTTGCATGCTGCACAGCTGTGAGTCATCAGACATTAATGTAGACTTAATTTGAACTGGTGCTGGAGGTAGTGGGCACAACTCAAATTAGACATGTGGTGGGCGTTTAACCACAATATTACCAATTCCCATTCTGACATCTGACAGCCCTTAATAATTAACTGCATGTAAATGGTCAAGTCTTCCCTCTCTGTTGGACCAGTCTCCAGCTATACCAGTCTCTGCATTGTAATTGCTAGTTGGGGCTGTCAGTTGCACTTGAGACAAATCACAGGCAAGAGATCAGACAGCTTCAGGAGCCCTGCGTTCTCTGATCTATCTGCCTTTTAATTGCACTGGAAGGCCTTCCCAGCAGCTTCCATATGCCGCCTCTTTAGAAAGATATAATATTCTCTCTGGATAAGAGGGAAATTTGTCGTGCTTTGAGGCTTAATTGGAGGTTTTTGTGATAGGACTTGCTGGCGTCTCTAGAACACACCAGACAGGCATGTTGCCCCAAACTCTCACCTGACTTCACTTCCGAATTTTCATCTTTATCTAACTTCTCTTCCCTCTCCTTCGAAACTGTCTTACTCAGATGTGAGCTCCAGAGTCACAGGGCTTCTTTTGAGTCTTCCATTGAACAATGGTTGGAGTGCTCTGAAAATCAAAGGAAAACATCACAGGGCAGAGGTGATCAAACCCAGAACTATAAACCCATTATCGCTTGAAAAAATGATACCACATTCAAACTTGGAAGCCCGTGAGCAAAACATGATGCTGTTTCTGCTCAGCCAAGCTAAGATCCTAAAGTTGAGTTTGTCTTTCTTGGACAACATAAAGATTCAATTAATTATGCAGGAATGTATGATTGTTCACAGAAAGCTCATGATACCTATTAGTCAAGGAAACCTCGACGGGTGAGGGGAGCAGCCCGCATACTGTGGCCCATATTCCACATACTAACTAATGACACAATGACACTTACGATTGACATTTATGTAATGGTATAGAAACAGAAGTGGCTTTTACTTTTGTATTACGGATTAAAAACAGACATTTACTAAACAAACACATGCCATAAAACTGGTCATAGAATTTGTAAAACAAGTAAAAACATGACATTTTCAGTGTTATGAAGTTCTTTGACACGCCATTGAAGAACAGTTGATGTGGCGATTATGTAGTTTGCTCTCTTTTTAGTAAAATAGAACCCCTAGAAACTGGTTCTAAATAGTATTTTATTACTCTAGTTGGATGCTCTTCAAAACATTAAATCTGAACTTGTTTTGTAAAAATCTAAAATTCAGGCTGGATATGTCACCTTAGGCTACAGCAGGAAGGTTTTATGGTGGAGCAGGAGGATCTCTCACTCCAGCTGCTAGGAAACAGAGAAACAAGCCTGATATCATGTGTTAAACAGTAAGTAAGTAAACAATTAACAGGGCTGTCAGGCTCTGTCTGTGTTCTTAATCCTGGATTCACCCCACAGACTGAGAAGACACACTCGGAGTATCAGCCCAGCTGTAACCTAATAGAATAAAAATGAGCTAAAAGGGAACAGAAGCGAGAAACAAATACATTAAAAAGAGAGAGAGAAAAGAAAGCAAAGATCTCTAAGAATCATCATGTATATTTGTACACAGAATACACAAAGCAAACAGATGTGAGGGCCCTTGGAATTTAATATATGGCTGTGTCCTGGTCATTTTTCTGTCACAGGAAAAAAAAAAAAAAAAAGCCCTTTCAAAGCCCTAGTCTGAAGGAAGAGCTAACATCAAACAGCTTCAGAATAACCAGGAGATTAAAGCCTGACGCTATTCAACTTCCTGCCTTGTAACTAACTAATCTCCTTAGAGATGGAAGAAGATGAGGGGCCGCCATTGAATCAGAAAAGCTTTCCAGATCAGAAGCAGCAGCAGCATGGTGTATTAGAAGGAGCACGGGACCAGGAGTCAGAGGACTAGTACTGCTGCCCCTCCTAGTCAGCCCCCCAGAATCCTGTGCAGCCCACACATGTCCCCTCTCTAGAGTTAACTCGGTGCCCATCTTCCCACAGGGCTCCCCTGCTCAGCACGCCTGGGAGTAGCCTCTGACACAGCGCAGGAGAAAGGATTTCTGGCAGAGGAGAAACTCGGCACCATTTCAAAGGCTCCTTGCAGCCAGCTCCTCCCGACCTCTTATGAAGCCAAGGGCACCTCTAACATTTGCGTGACTCTCGACTGTTCCCTAGACTCCATCTTTAACTGCTAGTTTCTAAGCATTCCCGGGTCCTGCCAGCTCTCGGGTCTGGCTCTCCTTTTGTTCCATTCCTAGGCTAGCCTTGGCAGTCCCTGGTCCTGGCCTCAGATATCCGCCATAATTCAGGGACCTGGCATGGCAACAGTACTTTAGCTAGAAACCTAAAAGTATTTTGGAAAATGACTGTGTGCAAATACAAGTGGGTAAAGCCACTTCCACAAACCAGTAATGCTGACCAACACACACAGCCTTCTGTTACTTGGTGAAACTTAGAGAAACTTTGAAGAAAATTTTAATACCGCTCCTGCCCACCACCCCCTCCAAAAAAAAGTCAGATCTGTTTATCAGTCAGTCTTACATTCATAACCAACTTAAGAAACTGGGGATATTATTAATACTTAAACTAAAAAATGAAGTGTCTCCAAATACTCACCTTGCAGTACCCTCAAATACTCACTACATGACAAAGAGTAAACTACAATATTATAATGTACTCAAAGCCACCCAAAAGGTACTACTGATCCACCCAGTGAAAAAATACTGATGAGTTCTAAAAGCAAGTATGTCATTAAAATCTAGAGACTAATATTCCAAGGTAATGTACTGTTGAAACAGAACCGTAAGAATAATTACATTCTGCCATATATATACATATATATACATATATACTCTGTCTCAAAAAAAGTATATATATATACATATATATGTCTCAAAAAAAGTGTGTATATATACATATATATACATATAAATATATATGTATACATATATACGTATACATATATATGTATACATATATATGTTAAAAAAGTGTATATATATACATATATATATATATATATATATTTTTTTTTTTAGAAAGGAGTCTGGCTCTGTCATCCAGACTGAAGTACAGTGGCATGATCTCGGCTCACTGCACGCTCTGCCTGCTGGACTCAAGCCACCCTCCCACCTCAGACTCCAAGTAGCTGGGACTGCAGGCATGTGCCACCACACCTGGCTAATTGTTGGTATTTTTTGTAGACATGCAGTTTCAGCATGTTGCTCAGGCTGGTTTCAAACTCTGAGTTCAAGCAATCCACCTGCCTCAGCCTCCGAAAGTGTTGGGATTACAGGTGTGAGCCACTGTGCCTGGCCCTATATATTTTACAGTTAAAATATCCTGACCTCTCTGTCTGCTCTCCATCCCCCAACTGATTTCTAAGCAAAGTCATAATCTTTTTTTTTTTTTTTTTTTTTTAGAGTCCCTGTCACCCAGGCTGGAGTACAGTGGCACTATCTTGGCCCACTACAACCTCTACCTCCCAGGTTCAAGTGATTCTCCTGCCTCATAGCTGGGATTACAGGTGTCTGCCACCATGCCTGGCTAATTTTTGTATTTTTAGTAGAGATGGAGTTTCACCATGTTGGCCAGGCTGGTCTTGAACTCCTGATCTCAGGTGATCTACCCTCTTCGGCCTCCCAGAGTGCTGGGATTACAGGCATGAGCCACCACGCCAGGCCTTCATAATCTTATTTCTGTTTGTTGTTTCTCAAAAAACAGGTGACCACTTCAACAATAATACAAAGATTGCAAATATTCACCAAACAATTTAGCACAAGGAATGTAGCACAATGAATACCTGTTGAATGATGAATAGATGAATAAATGAATTAATGAATGGGCAGACAAATGAATGAAAATTCAACTCTTATGATTGCTGCTGAAAAAATTCAGAACAGAGTCTGATCTACTCTTTTTTTAACATCTGGTCGTTCAGAAAGCTTGCCTCAGAGTAAGGTGGTATTTAAATGGTAGTCCAGAAATATTTTAAAAGCGAGCAGAAACATGATTCAGGTTCATTTTAAAAGTCAAACTTGTTCCACCAGGTTAGCACTTTCCCTCCTGTGCACTTGACTCCTGCAGTCTTGGCGTTGGAAGTGATTAAGAGGTGTGAGCCATCCCACCGGAGCTGCTGTTTGTTCACAGTGATGACCCTGGAGGCCGCCAGGCTGTTTCTCTAGGCAACCAAACTTACAAAGAACTCAAGGAGGCAAACTCCTGATTACATTGTAATGCTTTCAGAAGCAACATAAAGCTTCTCTTGAAAATATCTTTGGTGCTCTATTTTTTTTTTTTTTTTAATTAAAACGTAAAGAGTCCATGGCTCCAAGTTGAAACAATGGAACCTCCCACCTCACTGGAGTCATTTACGGACCCAAGAAAGAAAGGCAGGGAGGGGGCAGCATTCTGAGCATTTATTCATTTTATTAGACACCCGGGACCATGGAAGAGCCCGATCAATGAGAATGCACATAGGACCCACTTTTCCTCAGTTCCCCCAATTCCTCACTTTGCTGCTCTGTTTATGCCTTCTATGTCATGAACAATTAGATTTCACTTCTAACACTTTCTTCCCACGGCGTCAAATATGTCTTGTTTTGTTTTTTAGCTTTTTTTTCTTTAGATTCAAAAGTTTCTATCAATGTACTGATAAAAACAACAGCACAGCGGGGCGCAGTGGCTCATGCCTGCAATCCCAGCACCTTGGGAGGCCGAGGCAGGTGGATCACCTGAGGCTGGGAGTTTGAGACCAGCCTAACCAACATGGAGAAATCCTGTCTACTAAAAATACAAAATTAGCCAGATATGGTGGTGCACGCCTGTGATCCCAGCTACTTGGGAGGCTGTCAGGAGAATCACTTGAACCCAGGAGGTGGAGGTTGCAGTAAGCCGAGATCACACCATTGCACTCCAGCCTGGGCAACAAGAGTGAAATTTTTTTTTGTCTCAAAAACAAAACAAAACAAAACAAAAAACCCAGCACAAATACTAGCTGTATAAATATATATACAGTTAAGATTTTACCTTAACACAATATACCTTCTAAATTGTCCAAGGAGCACCTTTTGGTTACAAGTAGATCACATTACCACATTGTCCCCATAGCAGAGAGAGGGGCAAAAACTCGAAGAGCTGGTTTGGAATCCCACCTCTAGGACGGACTGACTGTGTGATCTTAGGTGTTATTTAATTATGCCTTTGTTTCTTCATCAATAACATACAGATAATACCTATGGGAAAGGGCTTATAACTATTAAATGAATAATGTAAAAGAGGAGCAAAAAGTAATACTGATACATGACAGGCATTTATTTAATACTACTAACATACTACTATGAGTCAACTACAGAACTTGAAAAGTATCAAGCAAATATACGACACTATTAATGACTATGCTTAGGTTTGAGGAGCAAGCAGTGTAAAGAGTTGCCATTCTGAATTTTAAAACATATACACAAATAATAACATAGAGTTATGCAAATAGATTGATTAAACACAATAGTCCAGAAATAATTCAAAAGGAAAGTATTTTCAAGAAATATTTGTTGGAACAGATGAAAATCAATGAGGAAAAATAAATTTTGATTCCTCTTTTATT